GGCACAGGAGGTGGGTAAAGGGATGCTGGATGCTCCCGCCGTATTTCCCTGCCCCGACCGGTCCTGCATCCCCCGCGCCCGCGGTGTCTCCAGAGCTTTGGCTGAGTGGAGGCTCCAGGGTTAGCTCTGCCTTCCCCTTGGGAAAAAACAGTGGGGGGGAGAGGGAAAGGGGGTTCTTGGCTGCAGGAAGGCAGAGGGTGGTTGGGATGTCATCATCTTTGCGATAATTTAGGGGTTGGAATAGAGTATAGAGAAGATCCAACCCCTGCCCTGGGCAGGGACACCTCCCACCAGAGCAGGTTGCTCAAGGCTCAGCCAACCTGGCTGTGAACACTGCCAGGGTTGGGGCAGCCACAGCCTCCCTGGGCAACCTGGGCCAGGGGCTGTCTCACCACCCGCACAGGGAAAACTTCTGCCTGAGATCTCATCTAAATCTCCCGTCCTGCAATTTTAATCCATAACCCTTGTCCTATCATTTGTTTTGTTTGGGAGAGAGGTGGCAATTATGTCAAAAAGGGAATAAAAGCAGTGTTTTAAGCTGGATTTTATGGAGGAAATGTGTCTTTTTTCAAGGTGCTGTCTGTGAAAATAACAGCAAGGGTGTTTTCTGTCTGGAGCTGATGGGATAAACAAAAAAATGAAGTAGTTTCACATAATTCAAGATGGAGTTTGAAATGGTATTTTAAAGAAAAAATACTAATAGACTAGAGAGGTTGTGGACTCCCATCCCTGGGAGTGTTCCAGGCCAGGTTGGATGGGGCTTGGAGCAGCCTGGGCTGGTGGGAGGTGTCCCTGCCCAGGGCAGGGGGGGGATGTAGATGATCTTTAAGGTCCCTTCCAACCCAAACCATTCCATGATTCTGTTTCATTTTCAATATCCATCTTTGCCTCTGTGAGTGAACCTTCCTTTGCTATTTGCAGTTCCTGTCCCTTTGCCTTCCATCCCAAGAGGACAATGTCCAACGTGCCAGTGGCTGTGGTGACTGGATCCAACAAAGGGATTGGATTCGCTATTGTGAGGGCTCTGTGCAAGCAGTTCCCAGGGGATGTGTACCTGACAGCCAGAGACCCAGGCCGTGGCCAGGAAGCTGTGGCAAAGCTGCAGGAGGAAGGGCTGAGAGCACTTTTCCATCAGTTGGACATCGATGACCTGCAGAGCATCAAAGCTCTCCGTGACTTCCTGAAGGAGAAGTATGGAGGGCTGAACGTGCTGGTGAACAATGCTGGGATTGCTTTCAAAGGTAGGAAGAGCTCTGTCTGGGACAGTCCTGTGTGCTGCCAAGCTGTGTGGAGAGGACAGTAGAAGCATCTGGCACCTCTGTGCCAGTGGCTGTAGCATCTGAGGGCAGTGTGACATGGCTCTTCCTCTAGGACCTCTTGGGCTAACTGTGCATGTGCACCTCTTCATGGAAAGGGCTGTCAGGCATTGGGATGTGCTGCCCAGGGAGGTGGTGGAGTCACCATCCCTGGAGGTGTTCAAGGAACCACTGGATGTGACACTTAGTGCTCTGGTCTAGTTGGCAAGGTGTGATGGGTCATAGGTTAGACTTAATGATCTCAGAGGTCTTTTCCAGCCTCATTGATTCTGTGATTCCATAGACATGCTTCCCTGGAGTGTTGTATTTGCATCACCCATGGAAATCCTTGAGGCACACAGCACATGTGAGCAGAGTTGATTGTCTCAATGCCCATGAGGTTCACTTGGGCCATAGGATCCCATCATCAGGGTAAACATCAGCTTTGTTCCTCAGATCCATTGTGGGATCTCTGTTTTCTCTCTCTTGCAAGCCTCATGCTTTGTTCTGTGCATTACCTGCTTGGGGTAATGCACAGATGATGAGAAAGAACCTTTGGCCCCTGGTGGTTTTTGACATCTTTCTCAGGTCATCCAGTTAACTATAAACCTGTTGACCTTGCTGTGCTGAGCCAGAATTTGACCATTTTGTCTTCTGGTGGACAGCAAGGCAGGGACAGAGAGGAAGGGACCGCAGTTTTAAAGTGGGAAAGTGTGCACAGCAGTTTTAAGGTGGAAAAGTGCATTTTTTTGGAAGGGTTTGTAAAATGAAGCCAAGAATCATGTTAGCTTCAGCTAGAGCAAATCAGAAGCCTGACTGCTAGTTTAGCTCAGATCTCACCTGCAGTGCTGGAAGGGCCATAACTGATGTATGGGAGAGATTCCAGAGGAGGCACCAAGATGATGAGAAGGACGGAGTAGCTCCACTGGGAGGAAAGGCTGAGAGAGTTGGGGTTGTTCAGCCTGGAGAAGAGAAGCTTTGGGGTGACCTCACTGTGGCCTTCAGTGCCTGAAGGAGCTACAGGAGAGATGGAGAGAGACTACTGACAAGGGCTGGAGGGACAGGACACAGGGAATGGCTTCCCACTGCCAGAGGGCAGGGACAGATTGTTTCCATGAGGAAATTCCTCCTCATGTCCAACCTGACCCTCCCCTGGCACAGCCACAGGTGTTTCCTCTGGTCCTGCCCCTTGTTCCCTGGGAGCAGAGCCTGAGCCCACCTCACTGCACCTCCTGGCAGGAGCTGGAGAGAGCACTGAGTTCCCCCTGAGCCTCCTGTTCCCCAGGCTGAGCCCCCACAGCTCCCTCAGCCTCTCCTCCCATGACTTGACCTGTTATTCTTTCTCCTTTGAGTTCACATGGATCTGAGCTCTGGACATAAGAGAACACCTGCCCAGTCCATGCAGGTGAGCTCCATCCCTGCAGAGATGGAGCGTGGAGCAGAAGAGGAGAAGTGGTGTAACTTGAGCTCTTAGTTCTCCCTCAGAGTGGAGGATGCAGAGCATATGGCTGATTGCTGAGTTGAACTGGCAGCTGATGGCACCTCCTACCCCTCTTCTGGTGGTGGCAAGGTGCCATTCTGTCTGCTAAAATCATCCCCTTCCCGTGTGGTTCCAGGGTCTCCTCACACTTAGCTCAGTCAGCTCCTTTTCCTGGCTGCTAATTCCCACCCTCCTGCTTGTGTTAGCACAGATCTGTCACTTCAGGGAGTGATTTATGGCACAAGTATTGCTCAGTTTGGGTATTTTTATTGGAGTTTGGTAGTTTGGAAACTTCTATTCAAACAGTACAATAATCCTGATTTTTGTTATTTTTTCCCCCTCTCTCCCTTCCACTTCTTACGCAAAGTCCAAGACACAACTCCGTTTGCAATCCAAGCTGAGGTTACACTGAAGACAAACTTCTTTGGAACCAGGAATGTTTGCACTGAGTTGTTGCCTCTCATGAAGCCTTATGGTAAGTGAAAGATAAGTAGATAAATCGTTTTGTATGAGTTTTGGCCCTCATTAAGTGGGAAAATCCTGCCCAGTCTCCTGCCCCATGGAAGAAGAGTGGACCTTGCTGTGCTGTAAGTAAGAGGACAGACAAATGCCATTTTTTGACCTTCAAAATGGCCTTTCTTAACCCCCAAATATCTCTGTTGAGTATATTTCAATCTGTTTTCAAGCTGTTTGCATTCTTGGTAAGGATTGAAGTGAAATTCTCACGGTGCCCTCAGAGAGCCAAAGAGAACTTGCTCATGCTCTCTCCATCATATCTGTCTACATCAATAGTTCTTACTTCAGAAAGTATGTTTTGATGATAGAACTAGGATAAAGAGGTACCTAAACCCAGTGTTTCAGCTGAGCTTGATGTGCTGTGATGTGTTTGCTTCTGTAAATGAAATGTAGTCTGTGCTAGAATTAAAATACATCCAGGTTTTAAGGAGGAAAGAAGTCAAGTAGATGACAAGTAGAACTTGGTCCCTAGGGAAGAAGGAAAAGACAGAGTCAATGAATTTTGGGGCCTAGTCAGAGAGAGAGTAAACACCCCTCTTTCAATTCCTGACCACCCTTTCCATGGAGAAATTCTTCCTGAACCTCCCCTAGCACAGCCTGAGGTGTTTCCTCTGGTCCCTGGGAGCAGAGCCTGAGCCCACCTGGCTGCACCTCCTGGCAGGAGTTGGAGAGAGAATCAATCCCCTCATCTACATCATCCACTCAACCTGAGCTAACTGTGATCTTCCAGGACCTCCTCAAAATAACCCACACAAAGTATTTTACAGGAGTTCACCTAACTAGTGACTGCAGAACTTCAGAGCAACCTCATTTCCATGTCTGGGCTTAATATGTGTGAAGATAATCAGTCTTTATTCTCCTGCAGGCCGAGTGGTGAATGTGTCCAGCATGGTAAGTAGCTCAGCCCTGGGAGGTTGCAGCCAAGAACTCCAGCAGAAGTTTCGCAGCAACACCATCACTGAGGATGAGTTAGTGCAACTCATGACCAAATTTGTAGAAGACACCAAGAAAAATGTCCATGCTAAAGAGGGGTGGCCAAATACTGCCTACGGAGTCTCCAAAATTGGGGTCACAGTCTTGTCCAGGATCCATGCCAGGATGTTAGATGAAAAGAGGAAGGGTGACCACATCCTCCTCAATGCCTGCTGCCCTGGCTGGGTGAGAACAGACATGGCAGGGCCCAAAGCCACCAAATCCCCCGATGAAGGGGCTGAGACTCCAGTCTACTTGGCCCTTTTGCCTTCAGATGCTGATGGTCCTCATGGCCAGTTTGTTAGTAACAAAACTGTTCGAACCTGGTAAGATTATCAGTCTAATAATGTAAAGGTGCCTGACCTCATTTACCTGTTCTTACTCCTAATTACATCGTTGCCAGCCCTTCTCCCACTCTCCAGGGTGGATCTCTGACATGGAGTTTGGATGAGGAAGAAGGTGCCTTATGCTTTCTCAGTATGATAAATGTTTTTAGGGTCCAGAGCCATTTCTTGAGGGTTTCTTATGGAGAACGGGATTGTTGTAGAGCTACACTGACCAGTTTGGGGGGAGACTCATAACACCAGACAAGAACTGCAGCTGTATGAACATTCCTTACACGGAACAAAGTTAAATGAGGTGAAAATAAAAACAGAGGTGAAATAAAAGTAGGTGAAAAACAAACCATTTATAGGGAAACCTAATCAGTTGCCTTTATTAATATGTCAATAAGTAATTACTGATTTGTATTCATTCACGTGGTTTATTCTGAACCTAAAAACTATTACAGTTTGAAAACACACCTTAATTCTCTGGAGATTAGTTTGTAACTGGAATGTGTGATGTCTCCACTAGATACAGAGAAAATAAACTACACAACTCATATATCAAACTGTTCCTCACTTCATTTGTTTCACAGCCAGGAGTTTCCTTATTGAAAAGCTGAATTGAGTTAATGTTCAGTTAATTAACTACTTGTCCATGTAGTAGAGAATGTGAACTGTAAGTGTTGTGATGCTATTGCAGGACAGGACTGAAATACACCATTTAATGGGGGCTGGTGAGCAGTTGTTGGGCAGAACTTGTTGCTCTTGGGGTTTATTTGTTGTTCTTTGATTGCAATTATTAGTATCACTAATATTGGTAGTATTATTAGTAATAGCATTATTGCTGGTATTATCCTAATGAGAGGAGACTGAGGGGAGACTTCATGGCAGCCTACAACTTCCTCAGGAGGGAAGTGAAGCAGCAGGGATTGATCTCTGCTCTCTGGGACCAGTGACAGGACCCAGGGAATGGCTTGAAGTTGTGTCAAGGAAGGATTAGGTTGGATATCAGGACAAGTGTCTTTCCCAGAAGTGTCTGGGCACTGGAACAGGGTCAGGTTGGATGTCAGGACAAGGTTCTTCCCCCAGAGGGGTTTGGGCACTGGCAAGCTCCCCAGGGCAGTGGGCACAGCCCCAAGGCTGACAGAGCTCCAGGAGGGTTTGGCCAATGCTCTCAGGCTCAGGGTGCAGTGTTGGGGTGTCCTGGGCAGGGCCAAGAGTTATACTGGTGGTCCTTGTGGGTCCTTCCAGCTCAAGATAAACTTGTTATCTCCACCCACACGTTGGTTTGGTTGTTTTCCTGATTCTCCTCCCCAGGAGGGGGCTGAGGGGAATGAGTGAGTGGCTGTTGCTGCTTGTGGTTACACCATGAGGAGGAAGCAGCAATGTGGCACTTGCTTTAAATGCTGTTTATTGCATTCCAAATGGTTCAAGTTGAAAGGTTTCCTCTTTCTCTAGCTGGGAGAAGCTGAAGGAGCTGAAAACAATTGGCTATAAACCTGTTAGCAATGAGAAATCAATAATGGCTTGTTAATCAGGACTCAGGGAGATGATGTGCCTCAGCTCTCTGGGTTTGACATTGGCTTCCCCAGTACAGGTTGTGTTCAGGGAAGCCTTGGAGTGAAAGACAATGAACATAAATAGTCTGTGTGGAGTTAGTAATTGCTTATCAGCACAGAACAAAGGTGTCATTATTAGCTGGTCTTTGAAGGATACAGGAGCTATTGTTTTTGTGAAGAACTGCCAAATGAGTCATGCCCCAGAGCTCCTTGGAGAGAAGGCCAAGTGCTGCTCCAAAAGTTCTCATGGTTCTCTGGGAAGAAATAAATTCTCAGAGGCCTTTCATTGAAGGGCAATAGATCACAGGATGGGAGAGGTTGGAAGGGCCCACAGTGGGTCACCTGGTCCCACCTCCCTGCTCAGGCAGGGCCAGCCCAGAGCACATGGCTCAGGGTTGTGTCCAGATGGTTCTGGAATTTCTCCAGTGAGGGAGAATCCATGACCTCACTGGGAAATCTGTTTAGTGCTTGGTCACTGCACAGGAAAGAAGTTCTTTATGTTCAGGTGAAACTTCCTGGGCATTGGTTTTTGCCCATTGCCTCTTGTCCTATTGCTGGGCCCCATGGAGCAGAGCCTGGTCAATCCTCTGAAACCTCCTGCAGACACTGATGGACATGGATGAGGTGCCTCCCAGTGCCTCTTCTTGAGGCTGAACAAGCCCAACTCCCTCAGCCTGTCCCTGTGAGAGAGATGCTCCAGTCCCTTGAGCATCTCCATAGCCTCTGCTGGACCTGCTCCAGGAGCTCCATCTCCCTCTGGCCCTGAGGAGTTCAGAACTGGACACAGCACTCCAGATGTGCCTCCCCAGGGCTGAGCAGAGAGACAGGATCATGATATTGATCATAACACAGACAATTTCTCCTGCCATGACCAGACAGAAGAACCCAGCACAGATGTTTCCAGAGCTTTTGCAGTGATGCCAAACTCCAGGAAGGAGAATCAGCTCTGTGGATGAATCCAACCTCAGCTGTTGGAACTGGAAACAAGAGGCAGAACATAAGGACTGTTCACAGGGTCAGTCAGTCAGGAGTGTGTGCAGGAGAAGCTCATTCCCTGGAGACACTGGCAGGGGGAATGTGTCCTGGGAAGAGCTGGGACAGCACAAGGCAGAGTGCCAGGGGAGAGCTGTGAGCTGAGGGCAGAGCTAATGCCAGGCTGGGGCTCTGCACAGGCCTTGCATTGTTCAGCCAACACTGATTTATTGTTTACTTCCTTTTTTCTCTAACTCCCTCCCTGCTTCTCTCCCATGTCTGTTGTGTCTGAAAGGTTTGGTTGCCCTCAGATCCTGGCACACTTGCTGAGTGGTTATTGGGTCAGGTTTAAAGGCTAGGAAGGGGATGAATTAATAACGTATGAAATTTTACACGTGATTTACTGGTTTTCTTTTTATGCCATGTCACGACCGTTTTTACTCTGGGATTTATTAGCCAAAGGAAATGCCTGGCAGTGCAGGAGCTGTGGTGACATGGGGCAGTAAAGGAGTTGGATTCACAATTGTGAGAGCTTGGTGGACGTAGTTTCTTGGGAATGCTGTAGGTCATGCAGGACACAGCCAGGCAGCAGAGACAGAAGTACCTGCTCCTGCAGCAGCTGGATAGGAACACTGTGCAAGGGCTCTGGGACTTTGTCAGGGAAAATCGTAGAGTCATGGAGTGGTTTGGATTGGAAGGGACCTTAGAGATCATCCCATCCCACCCTGCCCTGGGCAGGGACACCTCCCACCAGCCCAGGCTGCTCCAAGCCCCATCCAGCCTGGCCTGGAACACTCCCAGGGATGGAGCAGCCACAGCTGCTCTGGGCAACCTGTGCCAGTGCCTCAGCACCTCACAGGGAACAATTCCTGCCCAATATCCAATCTAACTCTGCTCTCCGTCTGCTTAAAACCATTTCCATGTGTCCTGTCACTCCATGCCCTTGTGAAAAGTCCCTCTCCAGCCTTCTTTTAGGCTCCTTCAGGTACTGGATAAAAAGATGACAAGAAGTCCTGGGAATTTTTTATGTCCATAGATAATACAGATGGGAAGGGAAGGGAAGGGAAGGGAAGGGAAGGGAAGGGAAGGGAAGGGAAGGGAAGGGAAGAAACTGAGGTGAAATAGTCTATTTCCACAGTATATGAATCCTTGTCGGGCAGGATCATGTGTTTTACCTTTCATGGGTATTTTGCTAGTTACTTTTTTGGCCATCGGTGTACTAAACCACAGCACATCAACTTTCCTCCATGCCTTTCGCAGCCAACAGATGGCTCCTTACCTCGAACCGAGCCCACTCCGAATGTGACAACCAACCCCTCCCCCCGTGAAAACTAGGTCTACAAAACCTCCCCAAAATGCATCTAAGCCTAAACCAGCCGGGTCCCTATGCTGGTTTTAGCATGGATGGAGTTAATTTTCTCAGTAGCTCGTGTAGTGCAGTGTTTGGATTCAGAGTGATAATACACGGATGTTTTGGTTTCTGCTAAGTTGTGTTTATCCTAAACCAAGGACGTTTTCTTGCTTGTGTCTTATGCTCTACCAGTGAGAAAATACACAAGAAAGTGGGAGGGAGCATAGCCGGGACAGGTGAGCTGAACTAGCCAAAGGGATATTCCACA